AGCAGAATGGCCCTCAGACGTGTTTAAGGGCAAGTTCGTTACGCATTCGCATCGAATTGCAGGTGTATTCATGTTTGGGGCACTTGTTACGCAAATATTTGTCTATACGATCAAATTTATGACTGGATATCAGCGGCCGTATTTTCTCTCGCTTTGTAGGCCGAACATGAGGCTCGTTCCTTTTCATTAACTGCTCCGCTTCTCCCTCTCTGTCACAAGTTTTTTGTCTGCTTGTTGAAGCTAGAATGCGTTCAGTGAATGTGCCCGAATATGTGCTTCACCTCATCGCTTTTTCATGTTTCCAGTCTCCTTTCGATATGAATAGCGTTTTCAAACAGTTCTTAAATATCTCCAGTGAAATACAATGGCTGATTTCTGAAATATAGAAAATTAAAAGGCGCAGTCAAATTGGGATTAAAGTTAGGAATTTGGAATTTTGTGGACAAATATTCTCTGGCGATCTGTGGGATTCTGAAACTAAATTCAATTTTCAGATAGCTCTGTTTATCAGTCTTCGACCTCGAGTTCAAATTCGAATATATTCTATAATTTTACACTTAAGAAAATTACTCATTCAAAATTTGGGCGATAAACCCTGTGATTGCATAGGGGTTACAAACCCTAAAATTAGCCTCATCTCTTCCTTGTTTTTGATGCATGGCGGCAGCTGTAAATTTATGCTAATTTATAAAGCTACAAATTCGAAATTTTTTATATTTTATTTGTTACATTGCATCTTAATCAACCTTGAGCACTGAATAAAAATTTTTTTCGAATTTAACTCACTCGTATTTTAAAAATTTAAAAAATAATTCCAAAATTACAGTGCGTGCGCAGCTCCGTTGGAGCAGTCCCCATCGCCATCACCAGCGTTAGCTTGTCTCTATCGAAACCCGAACGATCTTCGCTATGCTTCGCTATCATTCCCGTCACTACATGCTGCCTTTTCGTCCTTCTCTTGCACATTCGCTTCAGTAGGTCCATTTCTGTTTTCGTAGGAAATTTAATTTCACGAAATCAAAAAGTCTTATCCCTCGATAAAAGAATGCATGAAATTTGACACAATAATTTTCATGTTTAAAAGAATCCTACGACAACAGTAGCAAAAGATGCTTGAAGCGAAAGACGCGTGGAGTATCTCACTTTGCTTCTCATAGAAAGTGAAATTTGGAAGGAATTTTTGAGTATAGCATATAATTTTGCATTTTTCTATGGTATTTTTTAGATGTCTTTTTCATTTCAGTGTTATATTTATTACATGATCAGCTTACGTGGCGCGCCGTTGCTGAGACCATTTTTAATATTTGGATTTATGGGATTAACGCTGGTTGACTCATTCTCACGCATAACTGGTTATAAAAATCACTGGAGGGACATATGGGTCGGATGGCTTCTTGGTTTCTTCGTTGCATTATTCCTGGTGAATTTCTGGTCCCATTTATTTTTGTGAATTTTTTCTTTTCGCTAATTTTTGTAGCACTTCGCTTCTTCTTTTCCACCTAGGTAGCTGTGCATTTCTACTGCAGTGATCACAATTCTCAGTCATTTTATCAGATTTGTTGAATTGCCGAACGGACATAAGATATTTTGATGTCGGCGTACACAGTAGAATCGTGAGAAAGGAATTACGATTCAGAGTTACAAAGAATTATGTTGAGTAAAAAACGTAAAAAAGTTCAAATTATTCTGTTTAATCAGTTCAGAATAAACGCGGAAGAGTTGCAAAAATGAAAGTGAAGTGCCTACCATAAGTTTCAATTTTGAATATGCCGGTGACCAATTTAACTTAGTGATCTGATAAAGATGCTCATCTGTCACTAGTAACTTGAATACAAAATTTACTCTAAATTAAGATTATAATGATTGGCCAACGCACGGGCTGTCCGTGCGATGATGCGTTTTTTGCATAGTTCCCCGCAGTTTTTGTC